GGATGTCGTCTCTTTCGCAATTAGACCACTTCGGAATCCATGATTCGTAAATTAGAATTTATTGTGCTGGAAACTGGGAGCTTCGAATAATTAAATTGACCTTTATTCTGACATAGTTGACTTTCATTTCTGAGAAACTCGCGTCTGCTTTGGGCAAATTGTTAAATCGCAATCTCTGTGCAAAAATAGATTTTTGGAATAATTAGATTAAATATGATTATAATATAATATTGTATTATTATATTATTATATTATTATATTATTACATTATTATATTATTATATTATTATTTTATTATATTATTATATTGTTATATTATTATATTATTACATTATTATATTATTATATTATTATATTATTGTATTATAGTAATATAATATTTATAATAGTAAATAGATTATAAATATTTGTATCTTGTCATGTAACACAGAATTTGGCGAATAAATCTTTTTTAAAATAATAATTACTATTCGAGATATGTAACTATTATTTAAAAAAAAAGAATTTATTTGCCAAATTCTCTGTATTACACGAGAAGATTGGAATGCGCTGTACATATTTGCTGCATCGACTATATGTATTTATTAAATATTTAAAATCTCCTCCGATGCATCGAGAATCCCGTTAAAGTCGATTCCGCGAGGTTCTTTGTGGCGTGCCGAGAAAACCACCGCGGACTCCAGAAAGCAATTGCAGGCCTGTCCAATAAGCTAGAAAGTCAATGGATTCTAATCCTATTTCGCTCATGCATTTTCCTTTTCAATGCTTCTATTAAAATCGATATATTTCGAAGCCTCTCATGTGTAATCCCGTTGCAAAGTACTATATGTATAACCCTTTGGAACTTGAAATCAACTCTTCCCTATTTTTATTTTTATTTTTATTTTTTTTTTGTAAGCTCTGTCCCCGGTCCGATTGCCAAGAGAAAATTGATACCACTCGGTTCCACGTGGCTGGAGAAATTTATCGGGGCTCTCGCGACACCCCGGCATTCGCCAATTTTCGCGGCGCATACGTCATCGTGAACGTCAGTCGGTTAATGCTACTCCGTTTAGATAAAAGACCGCCCACTGTTTACTATAAGTAGATTTTTAACGTGGGCTTATATTTAAACGGTACATTTAGTCCCTCGTGTTTACATAAATTCGAACCGATCCTACGTCGAAGTAACGAAACAACAAGATGTGTGGGTATTAACGATCTGTATGCGAACCCTTGTTGTTAGTACATTTTACACCCGTTTTTGTCCCAATTGAGGCTAATCTGCTTTGCAGCATCGAGACAGCTCGGGGTGTGGGTGTTATTCAGTTCTGTTTTAAATCGACGTTAAATGCTGTCATTTAAATTGCATACATTCTGTAAAATCTGCTAACTCTGTTAATTATGTCAAATCTGTTAATTCTGTTAATTCTGTTATTTCTGTAAATTCTATAAATTCTATAAATTCTGTAAATTCTGTAAATTCTGTTAATTCTATAATTTTTGTAAATTCTGTTCATTTTATAATTTTTGTAAATTCTGTTAATTCTATAATTTTTGTAAATTCTGTTCATTTTATAATTTTTGTAAATTCTGTGAATTCTATAAGTTTTGTAAATTCTGTTCATTTTATAATTTTTGTAAATTCTGTTAATTCTATAATTTTTGTAAATTCTGTTCATTTTATAATTTTTGTAAATTCTGTTAATTCTATAATTTTTGTAAATTCTGTTCATTTTATAATTTTTGTAAATTCTGTTAATTCTATAATTTTTGTAAATTCTGTTCATTTTATAATTTTTGTAAATTCTGTTAATTCTATAATTTTTGTAAATTCTGTTCATTTTATAATTTTTGTAAATTCTGTTAATTCTATAATTTTTGTAAATTCTGTTCATTTTATAATTTTTGTAAATTCTGTTAATTCTATAATTTTTGTAAATTCTGTTCATTTTATAATTTTTGTAAATTCTGTTAATTCTATAATTTTTGTAAATTCTGTTCATTTTATAATTTTTGTAAATTCTGTTAATTCTATAATTTTTGTAAATTCTGTTCATTTTATAATTTTTGTAAATTCTGTTAATTCTATAATTTTTGTAAATTCTGTTCATTTTATAATTTTTGTAAATTCTGTTAATTCTATAATTTTTGTAAATTCTGTTCATTTTATAATTTTTGTAAATTCTGTTAATTCTATAATTTTTGTAAATTCTGTTCATTTTATAATTTTTGTAAATTCTGTTAATTCTATAATTTTTGTAAATTCTGTTCATTTTATAATTTTTGTAAATTCTGTTAATTCTATAATTTTTGTAAATTCTGTTCATTTTATAATTTTTGTAAATTCTGTTAATTCTATAATTTTTGTAAATTCTGTTCATTTTATAATTTTTGTAAATTCTGTTAATTCTATAATTTTTGTAAATTCTGTTCATTTTATAATTTTTGTAAATTCTGTGAATTCTATAAGTTCTGTATATTCTGTTAATTCTGTAAATTCTGTAAATTCTGTAAATTCTGTAAATTCTGTTAATTCTGTTAATTCTGTAAATTCTGTAAATTCTGTAAATTCTGTTAATTCTGTAAATTTTGGTATTTCCGTAAATTTATTATATTTATTTCTGTATATATAAATTTAGTTTATAATTTTTATTAGGAATAATTAGATCGGATTTATCGAAACATTACACGATCTTCATCACCGAATTGATCGCCGAATTTATTGCGAAATTTGTTGCCAAACAATTGTAAAATAAAAAATGTTAGATCCGTCATTTGGATGGCTCCGGCAATTCCATTGTTATCGTGGCGTAGAGTTTCCCATTATTCCGCCGAAACCGAATCTGCGTAAGTACCATTTCTTGGAATAGAAACGAAGGACGTCGAGAGTTTCCACGAAGAATCAAAGATTAATGATTGGAACTCCTTCCGCGAAGCAGGAGTTCCTTGAAAATGAAGGGCCAATCGGAAGAAAGCAACGCTAGGTGTGTAAGCTACATGAAGCAGCGCTGGAGCGCTCTCTGCAGGGGATGGATCAAATAATGGAGACGACTGTTTATCAATCATCTAACATTTTCGATCATGAAATCCTCGCGATAATTATCTAACACAAAAAATATCTAGCACCATTCTCGAATACTTTTTACACCATTTTGAATAGAATGCTTTTCAAAGCCTATTAAAAAAAGGTGCGCGTTCTAATTCTGGTAAACATACGTAGCAATATTTACCAGTAGTTAAAGAAGGATTAAAACATTAATATTCATTGTTACTGTTAATAAGAACATAGATTTATGTAGCGTAGAGAATACCAAGAAAGATAGAGGAGACCATCCACCCTATAATTGCGCCATCTATGAGGCACTGGAAGCTTTGTTTACGTCATTTCATTTCTCCGAAGAAGTCCAACAATTTCTACCCTGCCCACGCCGGTTGTAAGAATATTTTGTAAAATAGTTTTACCTGCAATATTTTCTTACAATTAATTGTGCTACATTTGTTACCAAATAGGGATACTAGACTACAAATTTTCATGAGATTCCAGCACGTAGAAATTTGCAAAATCCGGGAGTACCGACAACAATCGATACCATTTCGCTTTTAATTTTGCCAGAAGAGAAATTTTGCTCAATGCTGCAAAAGCGAGTCATTCTGTTTCATAAAGCAACCCGAGTGATAACCTGTTAAACGTGAACGCGTTATTGCGCCCTCGAAGCCATTTTCACACCAAATCCGAAATAGCTGTTTGCTGCGAATCCTTCTAAAATGATTCACAAGATTACCAGCGTGTTCGTGATCTCCGTCGACGATCTCGTCCGGTACGATGACCTTCGACACAATGCGAAACACAGACATTTTTCATACGTCCGTTTACTCTTATTCTTTATATCCTTTCCCGTCCTCGAGCAAGGATGACGCGTGCAGTACGTCATTCCAGCGCGAGGGGTTAACCCTTCGCACTCGATGCCGTTTCGACTCTGAATTCAAACAACAGTTATTCCGGTTCGCGGCGTTTCTATTTTATACATTGATATTAAAAAGTTGTGTTTATTCAAGCGTTCCTGCATTGTTGTTGCAACGTGTTCTTGGTTGAGAAATTCAATCATTTTCTATGGAAAAGTCTTCACAATGCCGGCGACCTTATTTTTGAAATTGCGAAACCGGTCGTTATTTTAACCGTCTCGGTAGAGTCAAAAATGCAAATCAATTTGTTAATGTACAAATCATTTTGGCACGTGATGTAACAATATCGAGTGGCGTCTCGGAGTCTCCGTTCGACTGCGAAGGTTTGAGCATCCAAATAAATGTAGCCAGGTTAAATAATAAATAAAATTATCAATTTTCTACGAAATGTTTCACAAGCTTACTGAGAAATTATTACAATTGACAATGTTCTAACTATTGTTGTGAAAGTAATGGAATGGCGAGGGGTGAACTATTTTCACTCGACGGGCTCAAAAATTCTTTACAATTTAATTGCAATTAATTACCAGCATTTCGTTCGATCGAATTAAAATTGAAAAATTAAATTGTACGACATCTACTACCCCTTCAACATTCTTTCTTGATTTCAATAAAATTAATAATATATAAATTAAATAATATATTAATATATTACTTATATTATTTATATTAAATAATATAAATAATAATATTAAAAATATTCCAAAAATATTTATATTAAATAACATAAATATATATTAAATATATTATAAAAATATTTATATTAAATAGCATAAATATTACTATTAAATATATTCTAAAAATATTTATACTAAATAACAAAAATAATATAAATATCTCCTTCATATCCGCTTATAAACGACACAGCGGTCGAAGGGTGAAACACGAACGAAGCAAAAATGATTTTGCAATGCGTGAAATAACAACGCTCGATCCGAGAATACTAAAAAGCGAATCTCCGACCGGTCCACAAAACAAACAGACATTACTAAAATAGTCCAACGAAATAATCGGGACATATACGTTTAGAACGTTGGTACTCCGTGCATACTCACCGAGTATCACGCCGAATAGTACGCCGGAGAGGGTGACCACGAGCAGCAGGTTCTCCCGCATGAACTTCCTGGTGTCGGCGGTCACCTTACGGGGACCCTGAGAGGCCGAAACGTCCTGGCCATCCATCTTGGCGAACAGATACTCGGAGAACCGAGCCGAGGACTTCTCCTCCATTTCACTGGGCCGCCAGTAAGCGGTGTAGGTGGTGGCGGTGGAGCCGGTCGCGCACGAGGATGCCGATCCCCTGGCCGATCGTTCGACCGATTCAGCCAAGCTCCCTTCTCGCGATCTCTCGCGGCTAACGGCGGGGCCCCGGCAGCACCACGACGACGACGGGTTGCCGTTTTGGGGGTGTTTCGTGAAATCCGTGCGGAACGAGCAATCACGGGCTCCCACCAGTCGTCCCAATAGCCTGACGGCTTTCCGCGAGCCTGGTAGCTCGATCGTGATACCTGCTTGTTACCGGACCCCGTTCGAACGAGCCTCTTCGGTGTCGGACAGCTACTCGCCAGCGGTGCGCCGAGGATCGTTCCTCTGCCAGTCACGGCACCAACGTCGACCCTTGGGTGGTGGCCTACCAGCGGTCTCTCGTTCTATCGGGCTCTTCTGATCTGCCTCAGGCGAGCTCCCGCCGCGAGGACATCGAAAACAGGGGATGATCCGCTCTTGTTCGAGGTGGAGCTGCCTCCGGAGGAGACTCTGTCGATCGAGGGTCGTCCGCGAGGTCACCGATCCAGCCCCGAACGGTCCGCGCTGTTGCACAGGGTCAGTTACCTCCGGCAGCCTCCTTGCACAGCTTCTTCGTCTCCTCGAAGCAGCAGCAGCAGTAGCAGCAGCAGCAGCAGCACCGATTATCCGGCTCGACGATGATATCAGCTTCCTCCCCGAAGCTTCTCGCGGACCCAACGACAGAGCGAGACCGAGACCGAGAAAGAGAGAGACGGAGAGCTCGTCACCAGGGCAACGGTTCGACGGAATTGGCGATGCCTGAGGGATGCGTCGGCGCTCGTACAATGTTCGATACGTTCTTCGCGAAGGATCAGCTCCTACTGGCCGGTTACTGGCGGACATATACGTATTGATTTGCTGGGACCCTCACCCCTTTCCTCGCCGCGGCTCGAGCAACGGCGTCCCGACGCCTGCGCGAACCGCGCCGGCTAAGTCGGTCGCCAGAAAACGAGGATTGTGCACCGACGCCGATATGATATTGCCGCTTGATTGTACATCGTCAAACAACCGCGCCGGAGACGGCGGCCACAAAGGCGCCCCCGGATTCAGCCTGGCCGGCTTTGATGCGACGCGATGCCGCCGCGTCGCCGAGGCTCGCCCCCTTTCTCTTTTTCGGCGATGAAACGCATTAGCGCGCACTCCAGCGAGTACGCGGAATGCGCCGAAACTCGGTGCGGGCATCGCTCGGCGTGCATCGGAAAGCGTAATTATGTAACGCAAGGGCTCCGCGGCAGGGACCGTGCCAGCCGCCGATCGAATTCAGCGACGCGAGCTCGCCGCGGAAGGGTAGAACGTGCCACTGCCTTGATCCAATTCCTCGACGGCCGGCCGATGCGTTCGGTAAACGCTTTTCTGGCACAAGGCGACTTTCACGATAGAAGCGGCCCGGGGTGGACTGATAAGTGTCCGACCGGTACTGTTGCTAGCTCGGACGGGGTGTAGCCGGATGCGGCGGATTTTTGTACCGATGCTCGGTCGCCGCCGGTGGAAACGCTATGATTTTTCCGCGATTCGCGGTCAGGGTCTTGTTTTTATAGTTACCGATCGTCAACAATTGTGGAAACGAGGTGCACAAGGCTCGAATAATCGTATTTATTCTTTAGGAATTGTCTATTTTTGGGCGGAATCTGAGCGCATATTTGGGAGAAATTAATTACTTGGTGCCTTGCGTGACGATGATCGCGAATTATGTCAAGAGAAAAGTTGTTTCTCGGAATGCTCTGAAGGTCGAGGGAGACTATGGTTTCGTGGACTCTTTGCTCCGAATTTACAGCATCGTTTAGATATCGATGTAACCATTGTAATGCTTCGCTTTGTTGACCAGGATTTATAGAACGAAGCTGTGGGATTCGAGCACGTTTTATGGGACCATATGTTATCGTTAAAGCCTAGGAAACGAACGAAAAATAAATTTACAATGGAAGGGTTTGACATTGACCTCTTTGTGCGAGAATCCGTGATAAAAATACAGTAAATTCTGTCTAATTTTCACTCAGCTTGTGAACGAAAATGGACGATTTGGGAAGAGGAGATTATTCAAGCCTGATTTTTATAGTTAACTATTGTCAATAATTATAATGACGAGATGCTAGGCTCGAATGATACTACTTTTTCCAAATTGTCAATTTTTGTTTACAAGCTGAAGGAAGATTAGGGTGAATTTACTGGAAGTATGACTCACGTTATAGAAAATCTTGGAATAATGAAATTACATGATCCGTCGAATTAATTATAATAACTACATTGCGGATTTTATTATCATATATTTATGATGAAAATGAATTATATAAAATTAATAATAATATTCAAAACCAAAAACGCATTAGAATAATTTAAGAATATTGTTACGTCACTTTCAACTAATTATGATCATTAAAAGAGAACAGATATTTTCATTATATTTATATTTCTTACAATTAACTCAAATAATTTTTATTTTGCACAAAGGTTCGCAGTCTATTAATTACATATAAAATGTAAGAATAGATTTAACTTGTCCAATCAACCAAAGAGTGTAACTGTAACCTAAAATATTACAAGTACAAAATGTAAAATAATGCTAGTAATATTCTTACAAATAAATATTTTTTACAGTCGTACTTTTAATCGAAAAGGAAATGACGATTGCGATCATGACAAGAGGGATGATCGTGATGTCTCTTTTTCTGCTGTGGCCTCGTTTGAGTCACGAGAGAAACTGGAACAGTTTGGTATTTTGGAAATCTCCGGGATATTTCTAGAATGTTCTGGATCGACGAGGATTTAAATTCTTCGAGGGATGATTTGAGCCGTTGAAGATCGAACGATTTTAAAGGGGATATTGTGAAGAGTTGATCTATCGTCGATAACGAACTACTCATTAATGAGAAAAATGAGAAGTTAAAACTGATTGTAGATCGTATTTCCAGGATTTTCGAATTTTTGAGAACATGTATGAAAGGAAGAGCAATATATATTTGAATATATATTGGAATTGTAATAGAATTAATATAATTCCAATATAATAATATATTATTACATTATATTATTATAATATATATATTGTATATATTATATTATATTATTATAATATATATATTGTATATTATATATTCTATTATATATTATTAATATATATTATTATATTATTAATATAATAATATATTATTATTATATTGGTATTATAAGAATATAACATTTGGAATTATATTTTTCTGAGGAACAAGAGACGGTAGTCAAACGGGCTTTTCAATGACGCAGCGGTAGAAAACCGATAAGGGTGCGGGAATAGCAGATGCTCTATCCCTTTTGTTCTTCCTCCCCTAATTTTCGTTCCCCTAAAAGGCACCCTTCCCGAATTCGAAGCACTCGGGCGTCGATATTGAGACAAAGCGAACCGTGGTGCCACCGTTCAGCGAAACTCGGAAACAGCGAATGCTAATACGGAAATATCTCGTCAATAAGTGGATCGTAATCAATATTATTGCAACGAAAATATTTCTCTCTGTTGCGTGCATCGGATCCATGTCATAGTTTGTTGTTTGCATTGCGACACGCTTTATGATTTTGAAGCAATGAATATATTCAAACGATGAAAGCGAAAATATAAACTTTTAACAGCAATTTCATTTACTGAAAAGTCGCGTTTCATATCGCTTCAAGTTAGAAAATTATATTTAGATATTATTTAAGTATTATAATAGAATTATAATATTATAATGGACATTATATAATAGATATTATAATAGAATTATAATATTGAAAATTTCTCAAAAATAGTTGAAGAAAAATTTTACAGAAACAGTTGAAAATTCACAGTCATTAGCTCTATGTAATTATCGATTTCGAATTTGTTGTAGAACGAAGGAGATTTCCTTCGATTTTTAAATGATTGGAAGTCGAAAATTACATCAAATATTCAACAACAACAACAACAACTACCACTACAACTACTACTACTGCAACTTTAATTAAATATAATAATAATTTAATTTAATAATTTACTTGATAATTTATAATATAATATATAATATTATATAATATAACATAATAATAATTTGCAATAATAATTTAATGCTTTTTGCCAATGATACTATTAAGCACTCAGTGGCTGTTTCGTGATATCATTTCGTAATGGAAATAATTAATAACATACACGGTGATTTTTAAAGCATCAATGTGTCGATGATCATTATACAATTACTATTTCTAACAATTTCACAATTATAAGAATCTCTTTTCCCAACGATATCTTCTAATATTCTCTCGTCTGTTTAAAAATCTAATGTTTAAACAAAAATAACTAACAGACCACGACGTACAGACGAACTTTCGAAATTTAAAAATATTTCGGTAAATGATTTCGTTAAATTTTTTTGTAGCTCCAGATTTAAAAGAGTCGTTCGGATATACACGTCGCATGAATTTGTGGCTTCCAAACCATGGAATGTAATACAAATACGAATCCGTAATACGAATGGGGTATACAGAATAGTCGATTCGCGCTAAGAAGCTTTTTAACTTAAATATCTTTGTGTAGCTAAAACCACGAGTTACCGACTCTGCAGAAAATGTTTTGGTACGACAGCGGACTCTATCCAAGCGGAACGGTCAGCTGCTGACTACGTGGCTAAATTTACAGCGTTGCCAGCTCTTAAAAGTGCATCGCTGCCGCGACACATATATCTCTGCGCAAACACCTACCGCCGCGTAAATTAAGATAACAAATTACATTTACACGTGTCTTTACACGACCGACCACCCTCATAAAGTAGATTCGGTGATACAAGTTGCAACAAAAAAATACATACCATAAACGAATCGTTGAATCTTGCAAAATGTAGATATGAAATGACATCGACTATAATAAATAATAATTTAAAAAATGTGAAACTTCTTGAAACATGTTATTAAACAATAAACGTATCGAACTAATAATTGAAATTTAAACAAATTTATTTTGATAACTTTTCAACTCAATTTTACAAGACGTCTGAATACTTACGTGGCGTGAAAATTCGATGTTTTTAAAAATATTTCTTTCTCCTTTGCCCAGTCTGATTATGTTTCTGTTTTAAGGTAAAGTCGTTCATACCATTTGTTATAGAATTATCTATATTTTTCAAAGAAGTATCGACGCAAGGCGGCTTAGCCAACGAGCCAACTAATACTCTTACGAAGGAGTTCACTTCGTCCTTTTCAACAACAATAAATAAATTTCGACGCTTTCAAACGCAGCCGAAAAATTCCCTGAATATTAATCAATGCTCCTGTAATAATTTAAAATCTCAAAAAAATTGAACTCGCTCTACCCAATTACAAAAAAAAACAAATGTATTCCGTTTCAAAAGACACACACCGTGTGACCACGACGACTACAGCAATCGAAAAAAACTCACCTGAATCGCGAACGTTCGAAGCAGGGGAATGACCAGCAACCCGTCGACTATCTATGACGCAATTTATTATACAATTACAATACTCTTACTAATCATATTGTGATAATGATCCGTAGTAATAGCGTATCCTAGGTAACATGAACTATTCCAGATTGATATGACTTTATTTATACAGCGTCACACGCACTCGCCCTTTCTCTCTCTCTCTCTCACCCGTGGTTTCCGGCGAAAGATCCCTCCGTGGATCGCGCGGACACCGTCGGAAACCGTTCCGCACAAATCGATTAAACCCTAAATCGCGCTCGCGTGCCCGATTCGACAACAGATCGCGGACGCGTATCCTCCTAACGATAAAACGAACGCGAGAATCTCGCGACAACGCCGCTTATAATTCATGGTACAAAATAGTTTTCGACGACTTCTCGCGAACGGACGGGGGCGCTCTTTTGTTCCCGTCGTCGCGCGACACCGTTGTTACAAATACAAATAATCCGTCTCCCATCCTCGTCGTTTTTTTTTTATCCGCGTTTTAAGAACTGTTATACCGTGCCCTACGTTCTCGCCTAAACGTTTCAATCTGGCTTCCGCGTTCAACAACACGCGCTTATTCGTAAATCGTATTTCTCCTTCCCCTAAATAATTAATCGTTACTCCCACGCGCCATTACGTACCGGTTACACATCGAATTCGTTTAGTATGTCTCTATAGTAAACGCTCTAGGATTCTTTTCTCTCTCGCGCGCGCACTCTCTCGCTCTCTATTTCTCACACACTCTCTCTCTCTCTTTCTCTCTCTTTCTCGCTGAAGACAATTATACACCTCTACTGATTGATTAGACGACTATAATCTCGGTATACATCCGTCGGATTCGGCCTCGACGCGCGTCCGTCTTTGCAACAGCCCTCTCGAAGGCTGCCCTATCGGCGATTTCTATTTACAGATCGATGGGACGGTAGGTGCCAGGGCATCAACGCCTCCGAAAATAATGATTCAGAACGGCTCTGATTGGATCGTGATCGGTGCAGGTTAGGAGAACCGTTGTTCCCGCGATAAGTGTCACTAGACTGCGGAATTTGTGGCGGTGGTTGCGACGACAATGCCCGGGTCGAGCTGCGAAATACGGTAATTTTTACGTAATTCGCGCTCGGATCGCGCACGAAAATGGACGATTTTGGAAGAGGAGATACGATTGTTCGAACCTTGTGCCGCGTTTTTATAGTTGGAGATTGTCGACAATTGTAAAAGCGAGCCGCGCGGCTCGAACGATCGAATCTCCTCTCCCCAAATTGTCCATTTTCGTGCGCGATCTGTACGAGAATTAGGGAGAAATTGCTGTAGCGATTCGTGGCGTAATTTCGCGCGCATTCTCGCCTGAACCCTAATCACCCTCCACTGTCACGAGAACCTTGGCGCGCGAAATAAGAAAGTTCCCCACCGATTCCAAGAAACAGCCCTCAAATAGAAATCCGAACTCTCTCAATATCTTATCAATACTTCACCCCAATCCGCCTCGTGAATTTCCATCGGATAAAATCCGCAGTCTATTTAAAAATTGAAAAAAAGGAAAAACATCACGAAAAGCAGGAGAGCACGCAAAGAGGACCTGGAACGAATTAGAATAAATGAAAATAACCAAAAGGAACTAAAGTTTGTCTAGTACTTTTATTGTCAAATAATAAAAGTTAAAATATAATGAAATAATAATAATAATAATTAATAGTTAATAATAATAATAATTAATAATAATAATTAATAATTAATAATAATAATATTAATAATAATATTAATAATAATAATCACTGTACTATGCGTCTATCGCGGAATGCGCTGGCTCCAGGAGGCTCACGACAACTGAACCAATGACACGTCGATCAGAGGACGCTGGAAGGTGGCGGGATGTGGATGGTGGGTGGTGGGTGGTCACTGACTCCTCTCTATCTACAAGATAACGCGTCTCCGACGAACGAGAAGAAACGAGAAGGAGGATACACGGAGAAAAGGGGGTGAAAACCTAAGCCTCTTTCGTCCTCGAACCGCTGTACCGCAGGATTCTTCTCGTCGATGTCCGCTCGAAGAAAAAAAAACTGTCTGCTCGGAATTTCTTTGACCTCCAAAGAGATATCCGTCGGAACCGTTCGTTCTACATATCGGTCGGGCAGCCGGAAAGTAAAGTAAAGGGAAATATAAGCGTCGTCCTCCTCCTGTCTCGTCGTCTCTCCCATCTCTAACAAAAACGGCGGCGTGGAAACGCGCGCGGTCGGGTGCTCTAGGAACTCTTTTTCTTTTTTTTATCGTCTCGTCCTCGCTTTCGTCTCGTTTCCCGTGTCAGATTCTCTCGCACGCTCGCACACACTTGCGCTACAGCTTGGTCCACGACTCTGGAAGTTGATGTGTTCGAAGGTAAACCGGGGCCGACCTCCACTGCTCCGCCCGGCTAGGAGAACGCCGGGCGGGTCGGCGGCGACACCCCAACCCCGCGTTTGTCGGGGTGCGACGATCGGGGAACGACACGTTTTCTCGGAACAGAATCAATCTCACGCGCTCCGTCTCGTCTCGCACACGCGTTCTACATACATTTACATACACGTATACATTAATATGATACAGGATCGCGCGACCAGTTATATTAAAATACAACGAAAATATATATTGTAATATATCGTGTCGCGTCCGGCAGAAGAACATCACATACAACTGCGATCGTCGGCACCGTACACGCGCGCATCGGTGGACGCAGCTGCGACGCGCCGCGTGTACCTACGTATTCATATATTTATAACTATATTTATATTTATATTCATATTTATATCTATATTCATATTTATATTTATATTCATATTTATATTTATATTATTACAAAAATGGGAGGGGGCACGCAACAAATGTACACGGTCGGTGACGCGCCGATCGACGAAGAAATCGAGCGATTCGGAGGCTGGAGCCTCGGAACGAGCTTCGTCTAATTGGAACGTCTACGATAATCGGTTCTCTCAGTCGTCTGCGAATCTATCGTCGGATAAAGTCGATGGTCTCGGTGTCGCAGTCTATGGTTCGCGAATTCATAGCCGAACGAACCACTCGAGTTCCGGCCTCGGCGAACAGCGGCGCTCCACGATGCCTAACACGGCTAAATGTGTGCTTAACGAATAGTCGTAGATAATAAGAAACGATGTCTATAGCACGGCGACAGTCTCACATCCGTCGGTTCTCTCGGCTACTATTTACAAAAAAAAAGAAAGAAAAGGAAAACCGAAACACGTCCACTTTATACATTTATGTATAGTATGTATACGTTTATACACGCATATGTATAGATATCCCGCGCGACGGCCACGCGTGCGCACACACGCACATGCACACACACACACAGATACGCACACGCGCGCGTACATATATATATATAGAATATAATATAATATATTTATACTTATATCCACGACTCCTGGCGTACGGCGATTACCATATTACTTTTTACTGTGTACGGCCCTTACGAAACGCTCCTCTTCCTAAGATCATAGCCCTTAATTAGTCGCCGGGAGCTCGCCATCTTGATCGGTTCGGTTTCCGCACCTCGAGCCGAGAGTCTGCCGTGTCGCGCAGATAATTTAGTACCTTGACGAATTTTTATGAACAATGCTGAAACGATCGTTGTAATTAAACGAGGAGTTTCGACGCGATTTTATTCCAATGTCGAAGGATCGTCGATTTAGGTGGATATATATCGTGATCCGATCGCGGCGTTAACTTCCCGAATGGTTGAAACGGTGTGGAAACATCCGCGACTCGCTTCCAAAATGTTCGTGATTTTGGATAAGACGGAGATCTCGCGAAAAAATGGCGGTAAAACTCTCGGACATTAAGCGCCGCCTCTTTGACTCGTGTAATCGGACATGCGCTCTACGTGTGTATAGTTATTCTGCGTGCAGCGGGTGTGAATATACCGTATGTACACGTACGCACGTATCTACAAGGGTTGACCCTCGTGTCTGTCCAGGGATCGTCGCGAGAAACGCGAAACATTGCCCGTTCGACGATTTCTGCAGAAAGACGCCGCCTGTCCACGCGTTCAAATCACTCGCGCTTCCCATCGAAAACCAGCTCCGTGGACAATGTACAACGTCTTTCGCCGGTGTTGACTCGTTTTTTAACGAACAGAGAACACGTTGGAAGCTCTGACTTGACAATTATGCGAATCGTTCGCGAATTGTTTAAATAAACTACACGACCGCTGTTTTTCTAAGATTTTGTTTTTATTGATATTCGACTTCGGGAAATTAATTAGGTCAATTACGACACATTGAATTATTAAATTGAATTCAACTGTAAAATTCAAGTATATATACTGTATAGTATTACAAGGTAGGGCGATGTTTTTAAGCAAAATTGTGGCATATCGAATTTGATTTGGCGAACGATGACTTTGACGTCGAGCGAGGCAACATTCGCGAATCCCACGTGAATTTTCACAAATTAACACTCGCGTAGTATATGTACAGGTTCGGGACACGGATATGTATGACGACAGACACGCGACCGTACGTGTTAAATATCTACAAAACGTATTGTCGGACCTCGCCGCATTTTTATCGGTCGACGAGAGAGCATGGCTCTCGATTTTAGCATCGGGAACTCGTCCCCCGACTTTTCACTGTCACTGTACATTCGGCTGAACCTTCATTTCGACGCGAATGTTCATTTTCAATGATACATTTTGATGAAAACGAGTTTACACAGAATTTAATATCTCAAGGATTCCGAAAAGTGTTTTAAACAAATCCGCGGATTTTTGTACAAAACAAACATTTCCAAAAGTTTCGTCTTGAATTAAGCAACATCCTCGAATCCTGTCAATGTATTTACAGTCGTGTTTATTAATGTTTGCAGTTCGAATATAATCTTGCACAAAGATCTGTCAAACGATTTACAGTGATCCATAAATTCCCGAAGATCTGCAATCCAGTCAAAAACGAATGAACGAACAATAACATTGAGGTACAAACGAATCGAACGAAACCGACACAATTCTTCCGAATAAAAGTTAAACACCTCCGGGTCGCGGAGCCTCCCCCCACAATTTGTCATGTCCCAACGACGTACAATTAAGTGCAACAAGTCGTCCAAACGAATAAATTAGCACAAAAACACCGCTGCGAAACCGTGATCGATCGAATGGAGACAGTGAAAATTAATGTACTCCCCCGTGGCAGTGAAGTGCGATGCTTCGTCCGATCGAGGTTCCACGGTTCCGCCGAACTGTTCTCCGTCACCGAATGGACGAGCTCTCGATTCCAAAATGGCGGACACTTCCTCGTCGATCGCTTATTAAACCCTGCTTACCACGAAGAGACGAGCACCGATTCCGCGCGCTCGTCCTCTTCGAAGGAACCGTCTCGTTCTTACTCGTCGAAACGCGAATAACTGTGCTCCGAACGCGTCTCCTCGATCCCCCCGCGATCACCGCGATGGGTCCATCAAGATCACCGTGAAAAATCCTTTGAGATCCCCGCGATGGATCGTTCGAGATCGCCTCGGACTCGACTCGGTCCAACGAAAGAAAGAAGATAAGAAAAATGAAAATCAAACAGCTCGGAGGGAAACCTGTCGATAATTAAACCTGTATCGTCGAACGGTTCCCCTACTCATAAATATTTGATGATAATTCCATATGATAACTGATTAAATGCCGTCTTTATGGCCGACGGTCATTCTTCATCAATCGCGCGGCTCGCAACGAACCTCGGGATCGAAAGCCTCAAAGTCGGACCGAAATTTTCAGCGATCTCTGAATCGCGGGGATCTCCGTCGCGGATCCGGATCGCGGGACGATCTGCGAACGGCTCGGAGAAAACCATAATACTGAACAGAACCGTGATTAAACCAACGATACACCGTGCGCGACGAATTTCCTAAGCGTCCACCTACGGCAGTGCTTGAATTGAAATGAAACGGAATTTTACGCCGGGTTTCCTGCTTTAAATTCACCCTTTTGAACGTCGCATTCGTTCACGAATTCGCGTCGTTAGGAGAACTAAATGAAAACGCGTATCTTTAATGATTGTAAACACTTGAAAATAATGTAACATTCTTGTTAATTTCTCCCGATATCTTCGCCGTTTTGCGTCACGTCTATTCATTTTTGCCATAAATGCATGAAATCCCCGCAGTCCGTTTATCACAAAACGAAACAAAAAAGGGAAGGAATTTATCAGTGTGATAACTGTAAAACAGCTTTGCACACTGACCACTTCAAGTAATACTGCACAAAACAACTGATAGCAAGAAGATTATTAGACTACGAGAAACGAATAGATCAAATTCGAAACGGAGAAATAATTTAAAGAATTTCAGGTCACCGTGGCATCGTGTTCAACTCTCCTAATAAAAGATAATAAAAAAATAGCTGCTTGCCTCATTAAGCGCTTAGAGTCCGACTCGTCATGGAGATTTAACTTGTTAACTATGAATGTTATTCCGTCCGTTTAAATCGGGATAAAATTCTGTTCCCTTATCATCAATATCTGAGCACTCAAATAAGCTTACACTCGCAGTAAATAGAAATTTATCGCCCTTTCTAAAAAATTATTCCAATCTGATCATTGCGAGTACAAATAAGCTTGGCACGGCAAGGGGTTAAAATTATTGAAACCAGAAACAAATGTTTACATGTGTTCCGCATGTCGCAACCGATGCAGACGGTTAAAAATCAGCAAAGTCAATATTTCTTACTCTTCCTCGCGATGCAAATGAGTTAAATGTATCTGATGCCACGGACACTGCTCGCTTAGAAAAGAAAAGAATTATATAAAAAATATTATAAAATATTCTTTAAAAAGAATAGAGCCCTACATTTCTGGAACATCGTGTCTCGCAAAAGGGTGAGTTTACAGTGCAAGCCCGGCAACTTCCAGCCGGTTTCAAGCGCTGCTTAATTACCTAAGAAGTCTTCGTCGAGTTCTCTCCGAGCGTGGCGCGCCTCGTATACTGATCGAGCAGATGCTACCTTGTATGCGAAAAGTATGGGTGTCCACGAGGTTGGCCCGACCCAGCGGAAGATCGACCGGGGTCCAGTCTTCGATCGTGGAACCTCGTTCGCCAGGATATGTATCGAATCGTATCGCTCCTTCCCTCGATCCCGACCGTCGTGCATCCGGTTCGACGCCAAATTCCATTAAGCGCCGGCACATCGTCCCTCCGACGTGATCCAGGCTACCAGCGGCATCATCTTCGCCGGATTAGTGATAGAACTCGGGTAGATTGCACAAACGTCGTTGCTGCTGCTGCTGTTGCTGTTGCTGCTGCTGCTGCTGTTGCTGTTGATGAGGTTGCTGGTGATGGTGCTGATGATAAATTGTGTCGCCCTGATGGGTCGACTGCTGGTGTCACTCGTGGGACTTGCCACCGAGGGGGTGGTAGTTGCCGCCTGCCGACGCCACCAGGGCCAACGGCAAAGGCGAGCCTAAGGGTGTCGAATGGGGGTGAGAGTGGCCCATGCCGGGGGAATGGGTTGTAAGAGCGAGAGGACTGCCTGACATCGAACCAGCTAGCGAGGCGAACACCGACGGTGCTGGGGAAGCCATCGTTGGACTGCCCATCGCTGCTGTTGGAGGGTTGATCCTCTTCTCCTTCTGTCGTCTGAAAGCAAGGACTCTGGTAGTCTTTCGGCTAAGTTAAATCTATGTTTCAGGGCATTATTCGTGTAAAATTTCTGTCAGAAATAACGCGTCAATTTCTGATGATTATTTGTTACCATATTTGAGATAGATTTTGGAAAATATGAGAGATTTTGCAATTGAGCAAAGTATGTCCTAGCATTTGAAGTGTACGGTGGGGTAAAAGTTAATTAGAGTTTAAAGGAAAGCGTGGAGTGAGGAAGAAATATTCGAGAGAATTTTTTGCAATATTTCAATGTAGAGAATATTGTTTAATGTTGGAGAAAAAAAGAGATTCAATCAGTCCAACAGGGAGAATATCTAAATATGAAAATAAATGAAATATAGTAATTTAAGGGGCTGAAATATTACATAGTGGTAAAGTGATATTCGGGTGAATTTTTTTTATATTGTTGTAATACAACACAGTTTTGTTATTGTTGAATAAAAGAAAAAATTAAACTATAGCAATAAGGAAAATGGATGAGTGAGAGAAAATAGGAAGCACAACAATTTATGGGACAATAGTATTGTTGAAAGGGGTATAGAAATGTTCAGAAGAAATTTCTGCACTCGTCTAATGTAAAAGAATGGGTTAATTTTTATAAACAATGAAGAGAATTGGGCATAACTATCAGCAAATAATTCTTACTACCTCAAACAGCGCCACTACGCGTGGTGGCGAAACGCTGAAACTCTTAGCCGAAATCAACGGATAGGTGAACATTATTTTCAACTGTAATAAAAACCTCAAATATGGTAAACTGCGATATGGACTTGATATTTAGAGCAATTACAAACATTTTGGGTAGATAAACGTTAACTGTAAATCACATATTAGAGAGGAATTCACATTTTTCTGTATGTTACACGTTATGTTTGCGCGTTTCACTGTATGATGGCGCCACAATTCAGTTTCCGCGGCGCTTTCGCTATTTTGTTAATTATCTAATTATTGCGTGATTCTGTCCGTGATATTTTGCAGTATATCGATGCAGGAGATTCTGCTTGATATTTTAGTAACCATGGAACAGTTTCTATTGCCTTAAATACGCCATATTTCATATTTTCGTAAAACCATTCATATAGTAACTTCGAACTAACTACAGGTCATAAGTGACGGTCGTATTTTATTAATTACTTAACCACCACGTGATTTTCACCTAAATTTTTTACACTACGTCGATGCAGTGAATTCTACTGAATACATCAGTGTTCTCGGAATATTTGTTTTCTTCTATTTCCCATATAAAAGCGCTTTAGTTCAAGCGTCTGCCGCTACGCGGCGACGCTGTTCAGAGAAGGATTATCTAGATTCCAGATGATGTTTAGAGAAGAATGAAAATTGTTTTTAGGGTACGTTGCCATGAAAATTTTCAAACTCACGAGGGCTCAAATTAAAGCTGAAGAAACGCGGTTTATTTTGAACTGAATAGTATTCAGAATGAAGAATATATTTTCTAGAAAAGCAAACCAGAATGTAAGACATTAGTAACAAAAAATTCTAGACGGTTTAACGAGATATTTTACAATAATCTATACAATAATCTTCACTCACCTGTTGCAAAACCACACTCGAACAACCTCCTTCTCCATCGCCAAACTGTCCGCCAATACTGTGATCTCCTCCGAAGTGGGTTTCGGGTTCTGCATGAACGCCTTTTCCAGGGCCACCCTCACGCTGGTTTCTATCGAGGTTCTCTTCTTCCGCCGCCTGCCGATGGCTTCCGGTGTGGTGAGTGGGTTCGAAAGGGAGTTGGGATTGTTCAAGGAGTTATCTGCATCCTCCAACCATTTCTGCAGTAGCGGCTTCAGTTTGCACATGTTTTTAAACGACAGATTCAGTGCCTCGAACCTGTCACACAGAAATTATGCAGTCAAATCCTCATGTAGTAATTATCCCGCATATTCAAAACGAATTTAAACGGAAAAATAATTCTCTTAACAATCCTGGGTGTCCCGTAATTATGTTGACATCCGGAAAAAGGTGATGCAATTCGCGCGTTTACGAGTTATTAATGAAAAACGCTGACCAATGAGAGGCGAGCTCAGCTGGCGCGAGGCGATCGAGCCAATCAGCGGAACTGGGTGGAGCCACTCAGTGGATCTCGCCTCTAATTGGTCACCGTTTTTCGTTAATAACTCGTGAACGAAGCCACAGATTACATTTTCGCTAAGGAAAAAGTTACTTCAAATCACCTCAGGAATCGCACCGTCCAATCAACGTCTCAATTATGGGACACCCTTTACATAGGGTGTTCCAAAAATGTAAACCCTTCGAAGAGAATGTTTTTAAATTCATTCAAAGCAATCTCTTTCCCTGAGTAAAAATGTAATTATGTTAACGAATTAGTAACGAAACATTTTCTAGGGCTTGAATTCTTTGACTACCATTCAGAGAATAAAATCGCGGAGAAGATAATATAATGTTTTCTATCTCGGAAAATTCTGGACTTACCTCGAGATCGTCGTCTGCGAGAAGTCGTTGCCATAGAGCTTGCCCATGGCCAGTCCAACATCGCCCTGGGTGAAGCCTAGCTTGATCCTCCTCTGTTTGAAGGTTTTCGCGAACTGCTCGAGTTCCTCGAGGTCGGTGGTCTCTTCCGGCGAAGGTTCCAATCTAGTTGGTTGTTGTTTCACCGCTGGCGGAGTGCCAGGAGGTGGTGGCGACCTTTGTTGCGTCAGACCTCGACCAACCAGGCCACCGCCACCCTGTAGGGCCTGCTNGTTTCTATCGAGGTTCTCTTCTTCCGCCGCCTGCCGATGGCTTCCGGTGTGGTGAGTGGGTTCGAAAGGGAGTTGGGATTGTTCAAGGAGTTATCTGCATCCTCCAACCATTTCTGCAGTAGCGGCTTCAGTTTGCACATGTTTTTAAACGACAGATTCAGTGCCTCGAACCTGTCACACAGAAATTATGCAGTCAAATCCTCATGTAGTAATTATCCCGCATATTCAAAACGAATTTAAACGGAAAAATAATTCTCTTAACAATCCTGGGTGTCCCGTAATTATGTTGACATCCGGAAAAAGGTGATGCAATTCGCGCGTTTACGAGTTATTAATGAAAAACGCTGACCAATGAGAGGCGAGCTCAGCTGGCGCGAGGCGATCGAGCCAATCAGCGGAACTGGGTGGAGCCACTCAGTGGATCTCGCCTCTAATTGGTCACCGTTTTTCGTTAATAACTCGTGAACGAAGCCACAGATTACATTTTCGCTAAGGAAAAAGTTACTTCAAATCACCTCAGGAATCGCACCGTCCAATCAACGTCTCAATTATGGGACACCCTTTACATAGGGTGTTCCAAAAATGTAAACCCTTCGAAGAGAATGTTTTTAAATTCATTCAAAGCAATCTCTTTCCCTGAGTAAAAATGTAATTATGTTAACGAATTAGTAACGAAACATTTTCTAGGGCTTGAATTCTTTGACTACCATTCAGAGAATAAAATCGCGGAGAAGATAATATAATGTTTTCTATCTCGGAAAATTCTGGACTTACCTCGAGATCGTCGTCTGCGAGAAGTCGTTGCCATAGAGCTTGCCCATGGCCAGTCCAACATCGCCCTGGGTGAAGCCTAGCTTGATCCTCCTCTGTTTGAAGGTTTTCGCGAACTGCTCGAGTTCCTCGAGGTCGGTGGTCTCTTCCGGCGAAGGTTCCAATCTAGTTGGTTGTTGTTTCACCGCTGGCGGAGTGCCAGGAGGTGGTGGCGACCTTTGTTGCGTCAGACCTCGACCAACCAGGCCACCGCCACCCTGTAGGGCCTGCTGCTTCTGCAGAGCTTGCAGTTGCTGAGCCGCCTGCGCCACTGCTTGCTGTACCTGGGACAACAGAGACACCATCGTGTCATCATCGACAAACATTCTCACCCCCAGTCTTGCTAGTTTCTACCGTTGGGAGCTGGGAAGATGGCGGCCGACTGTGATAGGCTTCAGAGACCACTTTCACTCTACTTTTTGCAAAATTGCTCGACTTCATTTTCTTATTTATTTATCAAGCAAGTTTCCTAACCCTCAGAAATCGCTATCAATATGTAATTACTCGCATAGTTCGAATTTCTAGGGTCTTTTGTGCAACTGACAGCAATATCAACGTTACTTTTCTCTCCGCAACGTCTCGATCACCGAATTTCCAGCTCCCAACAGCACAGGTATACTTGGTCATTGTACGTCTACGTTGAACAGGCTCGTGTGAGGTGCGAGATATTCTTTTTGACTGTCGATTGTGACGGAAACTAGAGGATCTAGCGGTAGACAGTACCTGCATGGACTGTGAGCGCGGATGACTGGGTCTTGAGGCGTAGCCACCGCTTTGCAACAGCCCCTGCAAGACGTTCACGACCATTGATCAAACAGGTTGACAACGGCCCCGAGGTTTTTAATACTAATCAGTCATCTGCTTGTCTCGCATATTCAAAGTTCGATATTTTAATGAGCAATTCTTCTCTCTGCGATACGAGACCACTAGACTACGGATTTTCTTTGACAATTCCCGGCTTCAGAGATTATGTTATTAAAGTCGATTTTTTAGAGATTAAATTTAGAGAAGGTTTTATTAATTTTTTGGCTGGCAATTTAACAACTTCGATCATTTATTTTTGGTATGAACACGTCATCTAGGTGTACAATTCATATATGTTATGCATGAAGAGGAGTAACAGTAACAAACTTGTTTTTTTTACTCTAAATAAAGTGAAATATTTTTAATATTTTTAGCGTTTCTTCTTGTTTTACTAGTTTTACTGAAACTAGTAGAGTTTCACTAGTTTTGCTAGTTTTACTAATTTTGCTAATTTTACTAGTTTTACTAATTTTACTAATTTTCCTAGTTTTCCTAGTTTTCCTAGTTTTTCTAGTTTTCCTAGTTTTCCTAGTTTTCCTAGTTTTCCTATTTTTCCTAGTTTTTCTAGTTTTTCTAGTTTTCCTAGTTTTCCTAATTTTCCTAATTTTACTAATTTTCCTAGTTTTCCTAGTTTTCCTAGTTTTTCTAGTTTTCCTAGTTTTCCTAGTTTTCCTAATTTTCCTAGTTTTCCTAGTTTTCCTAGTTTTTCTAGTTTTCCTAGTTTTCCTAATTTTTCTAATTTTACTAGTTTTCCTAGTTTTCCTAGTTTTCCTAGTTTTACTAGTTTTACTAGTTTTACTAGTTTTGTCAGTTTTCCTTATTTTCCTTGTATTCCTAATTTTTCTAGTTTTCCTAGTTTTCCTAATTTTATTAGTTTTAATAGTGTTACTAGTTTTCCAATTTTTCTAGTTTCCCACATGCACCATCTTTGCTATCTTCACAATTTTCTCCAATGTCACCAATTTTACAATGTTTACAACTTCTACAATTTTTATCATTTTTAACAAGTCCAATGATCCTTTTCTACAACTGATTAACGCATTCTCCACACTATCGTTGACAAAACGTTATTTCTTCACCCTCAGAACAATACAAAATCCCTCCCTTTCTTTTTCCATAAAAAGAATAACTTCCAAAATCGTTCGACCGCTCGAACAACGTACATAATTTTCTCTCGGACCGCCGCAAACGCGTTAGAAGAGGTGTTTTCGATTAGGTTCGGACACATGTCGCCACGATGGAAATAGGCGACCGGAGGAGCGTGTCCCGATCACTATAATTTCGCACGCCAGTCAAGCTGACGGCGCGTATCGATGATGATTTCCATTCGAGGCGATCGGGAGAGAAGGCACTCGACACGTGTCGCGCTCGTGGACAGGTAACCGGGGAAAAGAGTTGTGCAGGAGGGTTGTCTGTCGGCCGATCGATTATCTTCGCCCTTTTCTTAAACAGATGCTCGATCGCGAGAATGAAAGGGCTCGTGCAGAAACGCGGCGCCCGGGGTGAGAAAGGGTTTCGAGAGACCTGGTCGCGTGTCTCTCCTTGCGCTCCTTATTTATGCTTATTGTCGGGTAGAGACACCCCGTTCAAGGTTGCTTTGAATACCGACACGTGCCACAGGTTGCCAGATATTCACCTGTGCACCCATTCTTGCGGTCTCGAAAGCTTGACTTCGCTATTGAGTTTTTCGAGATCCGTTCGAAACCGAAATTTCGCAGGATTTTGGAACGCGGTGTCAATTAACCGGTGCTCCGATTGGGCTAAGTGATTCTTATTAACTTATTAAAAATTTTTATTAACTTATTTACATTCTTGTTAGTTTATTTAAATTCTTATTAACTTATTTCAATTCTTACTAACTTATTTATATTCTTATGAACTTATTTCAATACTTATTAACTTATTTATATTCTTACTAACTTATTTATATTCTTATGAACTTATTTCAATACTTATTAACTTATTTATATTCTTATGTGTGAACCTATTTAAATCCTTATTAACTTATTCAAATTCTTACTAACTTATTTCAATCCTTATTAACTTATTACAATTCTTACTAACTTATTTCAATTCTTATGAACTTATTTCAATACTTATTAACTTATTTATATTCTTACTAACTTATTTATATTCTTATGAACTTATTTCAATACTTATTAACTTATTTATATTCTTACGAACTTTTTTATTTCAATTCTTATTAACTTATTTAAATTCTTGTTCATTTATTAAAATTTGTATTAA